TTTGCGATTCGACGTCCTTCAGTGGTCTGATATGAATCAATAAAGTACACCGGCAAAGGGATATTAAATGCACTACCGAAAAAATGTTTATTCTCATCTTCACAACCTCAAACTCAACCGCGAACCAATCAAACATATTCTGAAGGCGAGAGGGTGCCAATATGACGAAATTATCTGCAAGCAGATCCCAGCTCAGAATTTTTATCCACGCTCTATGAAACTGATGAAATTGCCTAATTATCTAATGCTGATTTTCAAAATTCTCGATCGATTGAATTGTTCAAACTCATGTTGGTGCTGTGGTATTTTGCTCTCAAACGCGCATATTGTTATTCTAGTATTTTGTTTTCAAATGCCACAAAGATAGAAGTCTATGATTTCTCCTTGTAGTCAAACCTGAATTTGATAGCTTCTCAACTGTGAATCTCCTCGAATTCTAATGAACTTTTACTAGATTCCACCGGCTGCATCAAATGGCTATTTCTTATCAATGTTATGGAAAGGTCAGCTCGTATCACTACAAGACTTTCAAAAATTATCACTCTGAAAGTAGACGCAGAGATACAGTTTTTTTTGCAATAACTCTTTTTGCATCAGGGAAAACATGTCTGGTTGGAGGGGTCAGTGGTGGTTTTATGGTGGCGATTTATTTTTGTCGTTTCTCTAGCGGCGTGCAGCGGCGTTACTGTCCATCGGATTATTACAAAAACAGACAGATTAAATGGTATGTTAAGAATAGTCGTCAATGCATGATTCAGAATGGCAAGACAGTAAAAAATAATCGTGCTGTTTGTTTCGGAAATGGTAATATGGACTTGTGAAAAGAAGCTTGAAAAAGTCACTTTTAAGTTCACCAATATCATATAGTCACCTGCACAGCCCCAGCCTGTACCATGACGGGAAAGGCGTATATAAAGGTAAGTGAAGAGATGGAAATCGATCGCCTTAAGGTTCCACGCGCTTTCCAGAGTTGATGATCAAGTTTCGCCGAAAAATAATTCTGCGTGATGCGAAACTGACCACATGTATTTCAATTCAGATATCTTATGACCAAAATGCGTCAGTTTTCTAAAGTGCTGCTAAGTCACTATATATAAATAATGGTCAAACTTTGGTCCGTTTGGTGTTCAGTAAACAATGCAGTTCCCTTAGCCATGCAAGCAGGCCGCTTTGCAATGAATCCTTTGGGTTTGTCATTTCTATATGAATATTTTTTATATAAATCTTCTCAGTTCAAGCACTTTTCCACTCACTGTTCTTAATCACAGATCAAAATTTCAAAGTTTGATAATCGTCTTTAGACGAAGTCAAAGAAAGATAGATATTTCTCGACCGATAGTGCAGAGATCCCCAACAACGTGCCGTGTGAACCACTAAAATGGGT